TCTACTAAAAATACAAAATTAGCTGGGTGTGCTGGAGTGCGCCTGTAATCTCAGCTACTCAGGAGGCTGAGGCAGGAGAACTGCTTGAACCCAGGAGGCAGAGGTTGCAGTGAGCCGAGATCACGCCAGTGCACACCAGCCTGGGTGACAGACGGAGAATCTGTCTCAAAACAAAACAACAACAAAAAGCAAAAAACAAAAACAAACAAACAAAAAAAAAGACTTTCCTTTCTAAACTATTTCTTTAATTTATTTATTCTTTCATGTTTTTGGACAGCCTTTTTAGTCTACTGAAGTTCTGGATGCTTAAATATATATGCCATGTTGGGTAAAGGGGCAACTATTTAAAATTAAGTAGGTGCCAGAAGTTACCAAACTCCTGATCATCTTTTTAAAGGAAGCTAATTATATAAATTCATTTGACTATACTTAGAGGCTAAGTACATGCTAGATAGGTCAGTCCCCTAAACAGGCATGTACATAAACTGAAGAAATACTACTAGGCATTATACCGAAACTTCCAGGTTGCAAACAGAAGACAATATCTGCACACTACAGATCCATGTATTAGTTCGTTCTCACACTGCTATAAAGAACTACCTAGACTGGGTAATTTATGTAGAAAAGAGGTTTGACTTAAAGTTCCTCAGGCTGTATAGGAAGCATGGCTGGGAGACCTCAGGAAACTTACAATCATGGCAGAAGGGCAAAGGGGAAGCAAGCATATCTTCACATGGCAGCAGGAGAGAGAGACAGAGAGCAAAGGGGGAAGTGCCACACATTTTTAAGCCATCAGATCTCATGAAAATGCACTTACTATCATGAGAACAGCAAGGAGGAAATCTATCTCCATGATTCATTCACCTCCCACCAGGTCCCTCCTGCAACACTGGGAATTACAATTTAACATGAGATTTGGGTGGAGACCCAGAGCCAAACCATATCAATCCAGAGCCTCAATGTCACCCTCTGGGTGAGAATCTTGGGTGGATTATTAATAGTTTGTAAGCTCTTGGCAAGGAAGCCAGCTTGGGCTAAAACAGAGTAAAGGAGTGAATGAATTGTGGTTTATTTTCATGTACGGGGTATGTTCCTCAAGACTTCATATAATAACTGCATAAATCAAGGCTAATTCCCCCATAGGAATAAATTAGAATGTACATTATTTCAATTTTTATACAAAAGTGAAATTTTATTCCTTTTCATTGCTTTATTTCAAATTTACATACTTTATATTAGCATACAGTATGACTTTATTTCCTTTCTTATAAAGGAAGACTACAGACTTACACCTGGAGAATGAGGATGTACTTGATAAACTTTTGATTAGATGGAGACATGTAGGTTGCATCTTCAGAAAGTCTGGTGCCTGCATAACTAGTTGAATGATGAATGACTGACAATGAAAGGTGCTGATTGATATGAAAGTTGACCTACAAGGAGGGCTGTAGACCCATGCCACATGGCTCTAGCTTTGTCCTAATCAGTATACAAAAGACATTTTCAAATTTGTGATCATATGATATCTGGAAGGAAAGCAAATGTTTTTGATGACAAAATCTGAATCCTCTCACCCCCAGCCCACTGCCAATCTGAACTGACTTAAGACTGGACAAAATCCAAGGAGATTTGACAGAGTATGGGTGATTCAAAATGAATATCTGGAGAAGAACATCAATAGCCAGGACTTAGTTGTTTTAGCTAATAGCAACTTCAATGTGAATCAGTGGTTTGGTTATATTAACAGAAACAGAGGATCTAGAATGAGGTGGGGAGAGTTTCTCATCATTGAACTGTATCTGAAATTCTGTCACCAGTTCTCAGTTCTGACCACAAACGGGAACATGTTCAGAAAAAAGAAACAGGAGACAGAACTTGGAATGTTTATTCTGAAAAAGACTTAGAAATTGTTGTTTTCAACATTATTGTTGCCATGTGCAAGATGATTTAAGATTACATGTTTGTAGCCTTTTAGGATAGTCTAAGCACCTTTAGGTAAAAGTCTTAGGGAGCAGGATTTTGTCTTAATATAGGAACAGCTAGAAGTGTCTGAATATGGTAAAACCTCTGCAGGCAGGTGATGTGTTTGGGCATCTTGACACCATTTAATGGTGAATTGGGGACATTGTAGCAAGGAGTCTATAAATATGAATTCTCTCTTTTAAACTCTTAGAGAGTCAGTTACAGATGATTCCACCAAGATAAATAATAAATGGTCAGCAAACATATAAAAAGTAATGTAACTTTGCTAGAAATTAAATTAAAATTAAAATGGCAACAAAGTACTATTTTTGTCTGCTAGCAAAAATTAATGAGTAAAATCATATCTAATACTGGTGAGCGTGTCATGAAACCAGGGTTTTCATTCATTGCTGTTGGCATTGGTGCCTCTTAGAAAGTGTGTATAAATATCTACCTCATTGATAACACTTTTGTTTGAATAGTCCAACAGGCAATCTACAAGTTTACAAGTGGAAAGACTGTAAATGCCACATACCTGAAGATGTTCACTGCAGTATTACTTATAATAGAGAAATTGAAAGCAATATAAACATTGAAGAGTAAGGTAACAGTTGAAGATGGCAGGACACCCACTCAACAGGATGTTATGTATTACTTCAAAAGATAATCATTTTTCACTATAGCCATATGGAAAATGCACAGGATATGTTAAGTGTGTATGTGTGGTGAATTGCCAGCTATGAAATCCTACAGAGCCGATGATTTTAATTACATACCAAATAAATGGATACAATAGATAAGACAGAAAAGTTCTTCTCTTTAAGTCCAGCTCCACAACTAGCTACGTCTATTATCCTGGGCAAAAATTTTCCTGTGTCTCAGCTGCCTGGTCCATAAAATGGGGAGTTTGGACCAATGGTCTCTAATATTCCTTCCTGTTTTATAATGTGAATAGACTGGACTCATTTAATGAAGAAACTGTGTCCTGGGGGGAGTTAGAAATCAGCCACTATCTTGGTTTTCAGACTTTCCCCACCAGACATAATATGCACTTCGTCCATATTCTATCTTTTTAGAAGTCCGTTTGAAATGTGTAGCAGGTGAGAAAAAGTAGAATTCCTGACTCGCTCAAGTAAGTTGCCGTATTTGAAGGAGATTTAGCCACATATACTCCAAATTACTTTATCATGGAGTAACATAAAACGATTCTCATAAAACAGTTACTGAGTCCAAAAATGCCCAAGAATGACTTAAAATTACAGTACGACTGCTATGAGCATTACTTAGACACACTGCTCTAGAAAGGTCTGTTCACACAAAACAAACGGTCAATTTTTTAAAAGACTTGAGTACAAGGGAATAAACGTATTTATTAAACATTATTAAATGTTTATTATCTTGTACTTGAGTCTTTTAAAAAATTGTCCCTACCCAGCTCACAACCCTGGTTTTGTATCAATGAAAAAAAAAAAAAAGGGCAGAACACACTTCTGCTGTGCATATGTAGGGCCATTTAATTTGGTGATCTGGAAGTAGGGTAACCAGAACATGAGTTTTTAGCTCATAAACAAAAACCTCCTAGTCACATCAGACTCCTGAAAATGCCCTCATCTGTTCATAACTTTCTAGAAGGATGGTGACTTCTTAGTTCATACTTTCATCAGGCAGGGCAGTCAAAAGGTAAGGAGAAACTGCTTAGGGTCTGCAGTGTCCCTCACTGGCACCCATCCACACTCAGCTTCAAGCCCAGAAGAGCCTTAACAGTCTCTGGCACCATGGGGAGAAGTTCCCTGCTCTGATAATCCATAGGACTTTGAAGACAGTGTTGCCTGATCAGAATTCTGCAGGTGTGATCATTTTGACAGGGCCCCCTCTGGTATTCTGATCATCCACGTGAGGTCTCTCCTCCAGTCCCCTTGAGAGTCACTTATTGAAAAAGGTTGTTGTAGGTGTTCTAAGGTGGACCCACCTTATATTTGGCCTCAAGAACTACCCAGTTTGGATTGATTCATCACATTCAGCTCCCAATGACTTTAGCTCTTCCTCCCAATCAAGTCTCCTCGAATATTGATTTGTACCCTGGAGGACACATCATAGCTTTGAAAGTGATTCCAACAGTGGGATCAGATATGGCAGCAACAAGGGCCAAACCCACAGGATATAGAGGTGACCACCTTGAGATGTGTAATGGGGAGGAATTTATCCCAGTAGACTTACCAGGACAGACGGGCCTATGACCTTAGAGTAACACCATGACCGCAGGACAGGAGACACAGCCCAAGCATCTTGGAGGACAAAGACACCAGTGGATGTGGGGGCCCAGCAGAGGGGTGGTGGCCAAGGCCAGTTCTACACTAAGGTTACTGTTGGTGAGACCTACAGACAGGGCAACTGAAAACAAAACCATCACAAAAGGAACCAGAGAGATGCATGAGAACATCTCTTTCTACTCGTCCACCAGGGTGACTGGTGCTTTGTGATCTATTCCTTGTTCCCACTCCCCTTTCTCCCATCAGCTCCTTGTTGGTTCCTGGGGGATGTGTGTGTGCGAGGGTCTGGGGTGGGCACTTCAGTGATGATGTAATAAATCCTGGCAGATGAAGGTCTTGGGGCTAGAAATGTCATCACAAGAAACCCTCAGGATCTGGGATAGGCTGGCAGGCTCCATCCAGTCCTAAAGTACAATTTCAGTTTATTGTTTGACAACTTCCGAACAAAAGGGAAGCTCCGTCTAAACCACAAGTCTTAAGACTCATGATGGGAGGCTGGCCATCCACCAGCTGTCTACACCAGAGCTGGAATTCTCTTGAGATCCTGGGTAAGCCCAGCTTCCGAAAGCGCATTTGTGTTTGCAGAGCAGTGTGTGATTTCCACCCAAATCTACGCATGTGTGAGGATGGGCACAATAAATGCAGCTGAGAACCCTGAAACCAGACAGTAAAAACTGCACACGCACCTGACTGCAGGTAAGAAACAGAAATGATGTTGCGGCCCAGCATCTGCACAGGGAGACGCGGCACACATAACACTACGTGGTGTTTTTCTTCAATTGATGCAACTCAGTAATTTTTATTGCAACTGGAAGACAATACATCACAGAAACTTTATGGTAGGTCTGGGGAAAAGTGTTATTTACAATAAATGATGAAATAGTTTGTCTTTGGCAATATGATTACATATGAAGAATGCAAAATGCAGGTATGGATGCCTTCCAAGCAACACCATCAAGTCCCTAGAGTTCGGCTGATTGCGCCTGCCTCCACATTGTTTCCTTAGGTTCACACGAACATAACAGAACATCACGTTCTTTCTCCTTTATGGTTCTCCCTTTCTATTCATGATATTGGCAGTTTCATACAGAAAATACAGAAAAAAAAATTGGCTTTTGAAAAATTATTACTCTTGTAAATTAATTTGGCCGTGTACGTCTATTGGCCAGCCAAGGTCAGACGACCCTAAGCATCAATAGTAAACCTCTTGGTCTTCTGATTGCTTTATCACTTTTTTTTTTTTCTGTAAAACAAAACAAAACTCAGAAATGTTACAGAATCAGAGTATTAAAAAATGTACAAGTGTATATGCTTCCCAGACACACATGGATACATTTTTCCTCCACATTTTCACCATGGCAGTATTAAGTAGTGAGTGTGAATGACACAGCATGAAACTGGTTACTGAATCAGCTATGAGCTCAGATGGCCTCAACATACATACTCAAGAAATGTTGCATGTTTAAATAACCGAGAGTGTGCTAAATCTCATCTAAAAAAAAGGAGGAGAGGGGCTGGGGAACTCAGGCCACAGTCATGAAAGGATGAATACAATTTCTAGGTTTAATAGGTTCACCATATCGAAGTCTTTGAGAATCCAATATGGAATATCAATTATTTTGCAAAAGGTAGAGAAGGCAGTTCTCAACTTTTGCAAATGAAATACAGTGGAAAAACACTGTTGTATGTATTCCAAATAAATAGTCTTGATTTCAATGCTAACAAAACAACAGGAAGGGTACTCGTGAGCATCTCACGGTTAAGTCAGAAATGATGGTTCCCACAGGTCTGATTTCAGAAGTACAACAGCAAGATGCAGCACCATAGACACATCGGTTTCGGCTGTTAAAAGATGGATCGTTTTAAAAACTGTGTTTTCCTTCCTTAATTTTTGGTCAGTGAAGCTAGCACTTGTTTGCTGAACTGTGGAAGAACTGCAAGGTCACACACATTATTCATGATAAAGCAGCCGAGCTGACGAGTCTGTGCTTAATTCAAGAATAACCAGTAGGAGAGAGGGAAAACACAAGGAGTTAACCACCATCGCCGGTGCTCTCTCAAAGGAAGAGGGGTTAACAGATGAATTCACAAAGGTAGGCAGACCTATACAGAACACTGAATGCCATGTGTAAATCCTCATGAAACTCCAGAAACAGGAACACCACACAATGTATATACTTTGATTTACACATTCCGTTACAAAGGAAAAAAAAGACACCATTACAACTTTGTAACTGTGTTAACTGCAATATAAACCAAGTCCAGAGTTTGGCAGGTAACTAAAAGAGGGTTATCACTTAGGTTATATAGCAAAAGTGTTGATGTATATTATATATAGTAGTATAAATAATAAAAAAGTATTATTTAAATTAGATCACAGTGCTGCATTATGTGCATAACAGTGTTTGATATAGTATTGGTGGGCTGGGACCTACGACACTAAGGACTTAACTGTCAACACTGGGAAGTCACAATCAAGAGGAAACACAGAGTTCCAATGTTTTCTTTTGGTGGCAAAAAAAAAATTCTGAAGATGAAAGAAAAATACTTCTCTACAGAAACATAAAAATCAATTGCAACATCTGGGCAGCTGTGATCCACCAGAAAGAAACGAGTCCCAACCTGAATTAAAGGGAAAGATAAATCACATGGAATTTAATCCAGTCTCATCTAGAAAAGCTTCCCATTTAGGTCACTTGTACGTAACTCCAATTCCTTCTCCAAGAGCTCTTCCAGGAGAGGCGCACGGCCCCCCACACAGAGTGGAATGAGTGGAACTTGCGTCAGTAGCCCTTGGCCTGGGCAGTCCTGGCGTGGTGCAGGACTCTGAGCTGGGCACAGAAGGCGTCCACCTGGTTCTCACTCTACAGAATCCACTGCCTGATACTGTCCCTCAGGCAGGAGCCTCCTTCAACACAACGGCCCCTCCCAGAAGGCTCCTGGTAGTAACTGCTGTGGCCAGCAAGCACTAGACACATTGAATGCCTCTGCAAAACAAAACAAAACTCAACTCCGTTCTTGGGAAAGGCCTCTGGCACATTCCTTCTTAAAAACTCCCAAGATTGAGACCTGCCACAATCGTTCTGGCCATGGTTTTCTCCAACCACCAGTGAAATATGGGTTTGGTTCATTTTAGTTTCAGATAGATGGCTTCACCAAAGAACTCTTGAAAGAATACTGATTAGAGAGGGGCAGGGAAGTAGGAGCTTATGGTATATTGTAAGGCTGGGAAATATCTATGATGCAAACCCTTTCCACATAGTACTAGATAAAGATAAAAGACAATTATAATAGGATAAAAATAACTGTCTATGTGTGTATCATTTAAGAAAAAAAGAGTGACTGTCTCTTTTCTCTTAAATGTGTCCGAGGGCCAATAGCAAGTAATCGTAGACATCGTGGCGTTGATGTGTTCACGGTTGGTTTCCAAAGCATCTTTAAATATTGCTATAGTTCCCCGTTTCCCCCTCCCCCTTGCCCCGTGTGAGTATGTGAGATACTGGAATGACACACGAACCGCCACTTCTCCCAGCAGGAGAAATGAAAGCAAAAACACCACACCTCTTAATGGTGTTCAGGCGATCTGTCAGACTAATGGATACATATGCTACTTTGGAAGCTAAAAGAACACCTGACGTTTGGGAAGGAATTCCAAGACTAAAGTGAATGACACTTAAGCAAAATATTCTTTCACAAATAGGCTTGTGCTTAAATTCTCTACTGCTCTTGGAGGAGGGGATAAGAGAGGGTGCCTCCTGCCCCTTGGCTTGTTAAGGACACGGACAACCTCATTCTGCAATGAATTCACTACAAACAGCCACATACACATTGATACTTCTTGTTTTTGTTCTCAACAATCAAAATGCAAAGTTAAACACAATTGAGCCATTGTTTTGGTTATGCATAATGTGTATGCCTCCAAAAACAGAAGAAAAATAGGAAGAAGTACCCTCACTAAAGGTTCCCCGACAAGTCTTCCGGCAGATCCAACGAAGGGAGACTCAGGAAAATCACACTTAGAAAGCTGCCCGATGAGGTATTTATGCAAAAAGAGTGGTTCTGGAGTTAAGAACACACTTTTATATTTCTCTATTTCTCAGAGAGATCAGAAAAGTAAATCACACACATTGCATTTTATTATTTTCTAAAAGAGGCCTCTGCCCCTTTAGAAAAATGAAAAGAGGGGAGACAGCCCACGGTGGGGGTTTTAATTGGAAGAAGTCCCTGGCCAGAAACATTCCTGAATGTTGAACCTCTGCCTTTCAGGAGAGAGGTCTGAATTTTATCATCGGGGGAGTGGGATGAAGGTGGGGCACTGAGCTGGAGGTCTTTAGGCTTGGTCAGGTGACAACACAAATCAAGGTGTCGCTCAGGCTCCATAGCTGTGGATGGCTTTTAGGGTGGCAGATGTCTGGGGAGACGGAGGGAACAGAGCACTGCAAAGATATTTTATTCCCATCTACACCCTGAACAAATATGCTGGAAGTATTCAGCTTCAGGTCATGAATTCGACCTGTTGTAGAGGTGCAGGTTTTTTCAGGTTCTCTCATCAGCAACCCACCGGAAGGTAAGTGTGGGGAATGCACCAGTTAGTTCCCACTGTCCGGGCTGATGGCGCTTCTGACACTACCTGGTCCTGGCAGATGGGCTTGGCTTTGGCCCATAGCAGTCCCTTGTTTAAAAGTTAAGGTCATCTCTGTTCCCTCCCTCTCCTCACGCATCGTATCCTGAGCCACAGTACTGGGTGTCTGTGTTTTAAAGTTTCCCTCCACTTGGATGGAAGATCATATTCTTCTAGAGATTTCTCTTTGGAACCCCCCCCGCCCCCTCCAAAGAAAATTTCTTAGGCAAAGGTAACAGCAGGAGTTTCTGGGCTGCACGACACTGTCTGGTTTCTAAATTCAGCTCTCACGATCCAGGTGGTCTTAATTCCAGGTTGGTCAGTGTGCTGAAGGTAGCGATGGCCGGCCCCTGCTTCCTACCGCGACATGGCGTTGTGGCGATAGGACGTCTGGGGCTGGCCTTTCCTACCTCGGCATCGCTTCCTCCTTCACGTGAACCCCATCTCGTCCCCTCACCCAATAAGGCCCATTAGCACATTTCCCCTTCTTCTGGCTAATTTGCATAATTATTCACTGCCTTTTTCCTAGAACCAAATCATGGTAATGATTTTCTCAAGTAAGCGTCCCATAATTCTCTTGATTCTATCATACACACTCACTACTAAGTTTGCCCTCAAATTATTGCGTCATGTTAAACATGTACAGACAGAGAGAAAGGACACACTTTCAACAGAGAATCAGAGGGGGTCGGGGCTGAAGTGCACACAAGGCAGTACAGAGTTCAACCATCCAAGCCCTACCAGAGCATGAAGATATTTTTATATTGCAGAGTAAGTTCCCCAACAGTCAGAATTTGTCCCTGAAGAAGGTTAAACCTTAAACACCTGCTTCAAAAAACCAAAACAAAATAACCCGAAAAAAACAAAAACAAAAACAAAAAACAAAAACAAAAAGGAAAGAAAGGAAGCAAAGAAAAAGAAAGAAAAAAGAAGAAAACCAAAAGAACCTCTAAGCCTAAGGGCTTAAAAATCAGAGGCATAGCCTTTTCTCTATTTTCTATATTTATATGAAAATAATTCATGCTTCATGCTAAATACATTATTTACCTTACAAGAACTTTGTTACTTTTGAATAAAAAAAGTTTGTTTTTGTGATTTTTTTTCTTTTTCTTTTTTTTCTTCAAAGGAATCCATGCATTGTGGATCAGAAATTACTGCTGGCTATACTGGCTGAATGTGGAAATCATTGATTTTTGCAAAGATAAATCCTGACATTAATTGCAAACTCCATTTTGAGGGCAGTATAGGAGTTATTTTATTTTTTGCCATGTTTTACTTTTTTTTTGTCCATCAGTGTGCCTTTAATCTTAAAAATACACCACAATACTAATGGCAGGTTCCGTAGCTTTCTAGTTTTTTTTTTCCACTTGGATCAAATAGTTTTGATAGACAGAAAAAGATCTGTACCATTATTTCCTTTCCTTAACAGCTATTGTAATTTCCTGGACTTGGTTGCTTTTCACTTGGGCAGTTAAGAAGACACAGCTTGTTCTCCACATCAGTGTTCTCTCTCTCCTTGTGTGTGTGTGTGTGTGTGTGTGTGTGTGTATGCGTAGTGTGTTGTGGTGTGTGTCTGTGTGTATGTGTGTGTGCACAGGGCCAACCTTCAGGCTTATGGCTTTTGGAACATTTTCTTAATTTAATAGAGAACAGAATTCAGTGATTAGCAACATCACTAAAAATTTACCCCATTTCTTCTCCATGAGTCACTGACGCCCGATGTGCGTGAACAGTCCAACGTCCACCTCGTAAGACGTCATCGGGCTTCAGGGTTCAGAAGCATGGAGGACTGGTGGCCGGCCCTCTGTGCTTGCCGTGTGACAGTTCCAGTGGCTTTCCTGGCACCATCAGATGCCTGGTGCCACAGGCTTGGGTCTGCTCCTAGGGGGACGAGGGGTCCTCCTTCTCCTCAATTGCTTTATGTGCCTCAGTGAACCCAATGGGATGGACAACCTGACTTTTTAAACCTAAGGGTTGGGCCTGAACGATGATTACTTTGCCCACGTGCCTTCTAGGTGCCGAATGTGTGTTCCTGTGGTATTGACGTTGACATCCCTGCGGATTCAGCCACAGGTTTTTGACAAGCTGGAGGAAGCAATGGTAATTTTGGCTTTTTCGGTTTTGTCTTCAGATAATGAAAAGCTTTTGTAAAACAGCTGAGTGTCAATATGAGTTCTATGGCTTCAATCTCCTTTAAAAATAAAATTCTTAAGGGTCCAAAACAAAGAAGGGGGGCAAATTAAAACAAAATAAAAGGAAAAGAAAAGAAAGAAAACCAAACCAAAAACAAGAAAAAAGAAAAAAATCGCTGATATTGCCACAAATCATTCGAAATCTCCTGACATGCTGAAACCAAATGGCCGTAAGTTCAAAACAAATCAGTGACTTGTTTTTAATTTTTTGTGGTTTCCTTTTGCTCTTTCTGCCCCTTTGCCGTCCGATTGGTGATGTTATTCAAACAGGACCTGATCCCTGCTAAGTGCAGGAGTGACCCCGCTGCTTCTTTCATCTCCTCGTCGTCGCTCTCGGGGGGCTTTTCGGTGCGTCTCTTTTTGAGGGGCAGTGTGTCGCTGGGGACCTTCCTGGCCTTGGCGAAGTGCTGGCGCTTCTTGTGCTGGGATGCATACCCGCTGTCCCCTAGAGAATCCTTGGGCTCCTTCTGGCTGTGCTTCCTGTCATCCTCCTCCGTGTCGCTGGGGCTCTCGCGGCTCCGGAAGCTCCCCTCGCTGCCCTCGCTGCCCTCCTGGCTCCCCTTGGTGGCAAACTCATAGTGGTCGTCGGCCGAGGAGGAGGAGGACGAGGAGGAGATGGAGTCGCTGGTGGGCGAGGTGCTCCGGGCGTTGGAGGACTTGGCACTGCTGTAGTTGTGATCCTCCTTGGGGTCTCCGCTGACCACCGGGGAGCCACACGACGGCTCGCTCTCAGTCCGCATCCGGCAGCTGGTGATGCCATTCCTGCAGAGCGAGGACAGTGGGGAGGGACGGGAGACAAAAAGGGGACACAGTTAGACCTCCTCAGATGGGGGTGCCCAGCAGCCCGCCTGCCTTCAAACATCAGCCCCTCTGCGTTCAATGCAGCCACTTGCAAACTGTGGGGGCAACAGGTGGATCTGCTTTGAAGGCAGGGTCCTAAATCCTGACACCTCAGTCTCCCCTGCTTATCTCCTATAATGGCAGCTTCACTCCATTTGTGTGGCTGAGACGTCAAAACAACACTTGTGAAGTGACAGCGGCGGAGGCTCCATCTCTTACATTAAACCATAAAAATCAAGCTGTGCTTGGTTCGCGTCCCCGCCAACACCGCGGAGTCAGACACCGCCAGACGATGTTGGCTGGTACTTCAGAGAACAAAGTCTGCTCTTGTCTGAAGCTGCTACATTAGGAGGCTTTTGTCAGAAGACTAAACCAGTGTTCAGCAAAGACACCTGCCATGTGGTGACAGCTACTCACTCATGCATTCCCTCCCTCGTTCATGCAATCTACAAATATTCACTGAGCGACTAATAGAAATGCATGACCTTAGGGAGGGTTCTGGGGGAGGGACACGGGGACACGGGGTTGGATGGGATATAGACACTGTCACAGCGATGCTGCAGCCTAACAGAAAGGCAAGTCAGGGTCACATCACAGACCAGAGAGCAGTAAGCTACGATTTCCCCAACTCAACACCTGCCAGGCGCGCTGCTAAGTCTGCGCAGAGGACCATGTTTAACTCCGTAAAGTGAGTATTAGCATCCTTAGTTTACAGTGGCTCCAAGTGAAGCCTGGAGAAGTTCAGTGATTTACTTAAAGTCACACAGCTAATAACATGCAGAGCAGGGACTGGAATCAAAGTCTGACTCTCAAACTTGAGGTCTTAGCTACGTCACCAGACCGACCCTCCTTGGTGATTTCCCTATAACAAGGTCCCTGCTACCCATGCCTATCAGGCCTCTGTAGTGCTCATCACGCCTCTGATTTCTTTGTGTCTTTACATCTGAGCGATGTACTTAACATCCCTTGTCCTTCGTTATCGGGGAAGTGGGAATAGTAACTACACCGTGGGGCTGAGGACACGCATTAATGCCTGCAGGTGTCAGGACCAGCGCTTGGCCTGACAGCAATGGCTGTGAAGCTTATTCCTGGTTAGGACCCACACTTCTTGTGTCTGGGAGGCAGCTGCCTGTCTGATAGTGCCTGGCACTCAGCCTTCAGAAGGATGAATACTTGCAGGAGAGGAGTGTCACTTGTAGCTGAAGGGGACAAAGGAAGGACACCAGGGAATGTTTTGTGGAAGACAAGGCATCTGATCTAGGACACAAGGGCTGAAGAATTTGACGGGATGAGAACTGTTTTATTGCACCATGCTGGCCCGGTTTCCTGTAAGCTCATCTACCTTGTGATCCATTTCTAAGAGTTCTGGGGTACATGACCATACTTTTCCCGCCTAGATGAGCCCAACTGTAAGTACTCTTATCCTCCCTCCATAGAGGACACTCCCCACCATCATCACGAACTGTGTGGTGATGATGTCCATGAATGTGTCCCATCAGAGAGCTAGCTCCACGAGACAGGGTGTGGTTACTGCTAGGCCCCCAGTGGCTATCGCTGTGTCAGCACGGTGGACACAACAGATAAACTGAGGAAGTGCAGCAGCAGGTGGAATCACGTGGCCGAGAGTATGAAGCTTGGGAAGTGACTGTGGGTCCCCACCACCATGACTCGCTGGGCACACCCTGAGGATATGGCACCGGTAGAAGGGCTGTGGGGTCAGGATCACCAATGAGATCACAGTAGGGACAATCTCTACCCTGGCTTTTCTCCTGTCACCCTCATGGGCCTTGAGGCTCAGGGAGACTTCAGTTGCACCCCACATAGAAAGTGAAAGGGGAAGGGAAAGAGTCCCTCATGAAAAGGGTGCAGTAGGGAGTGAGGCGAAGGAGTTGCTTTCCTTTGGCCCCAGGGCCAGTGGTATTCTGCTAAATTTAGGCTGGGGGAGAGACTTCGTACCGTTGTGTCCACCAGCAAAATGCACGAGGGTCATTATCAAAACTCAGCCTTTGCTAGATGTCCAAGAGCCTCATGATGAATCCCAACACTTACAATGTGTGCATTTGTTCATCGAAGTCCCAGTGAGACCCAGAAGGTTCCCAGCTTGTGTCCTGTGCTCCATGATCCCAGACACACACCACCTCCCCCAAATCCTTACAGACACAGCCTGGCTTGCACGCCACACACGCCTGTGTTCATATCCCACTGCTGCTTATCGGTGACTCTGAGCAGGCTGTTTTACTTCTTGAAGCCTCAGCTTCCTCATCTACCTTGTGGGGCTGTGCGAGGATTAAATGAACTGTCCTGAGCACAGAGCAAGGCTGCTTGTGGTGCCTGATCGTGTTTACTTGCCATCCGATTCCTGCGACTTCCTGCTGCTATAACCTGTTCGCTCTGAGCAGTCTTGTTTTCTCTTTCTATTCTGGATCAGGAGGCGTACGGGAACCCAGCACCAAGTCAGAGGCAATAGGCCGTTCAAGAGGAGTTCCCCCAGGGCTTGCCTGTGAACACAGCCCCTGAGCTTTGGGGTCTGGCCTCCTCCATATCTGTTTTCTGCAGACTTCCTATTTCTTGGCTGTGTCTTGGGTGCATAAAGATGTAATTAATCATACAGCTAGCTACTAACAGTTATTAAAGCGAACGAAAATGAAAGTCTCGTTGTACGGTCCTCTTGATCTTTGCCATTTCAGGGAACTACTATAAAATACAAAAATAATTCACCCACTAAAACTAACATCAAACAGTTTCATAGTAAATCTAAGTATAATTGAAAGAGTAAAGTGGGCTATACTTAGCTTTTAGTAAATGGATTCAGTTCTGAATGCTTCTTTTAAAAAATAACTTGGGGCTTACAACTCACGTCACTACCACAGTGAAGCAGAACGTGATCCCTCTCTGAACACAGACGGGGAGAATCACGAGAGTGAGAAAGAAAGCAAGTGCTCCACGGTGCTGATTCCTGGTGAATCTAGGTGAAGGGTGTGTGCTATTCATTGTGCTTTTCTTTCCCTTCTTTCCTAAGTTTGAACATTTTTTAAATACAAAGTGTTGGGGAGGGGAATACACTAGAACCAAAGCAATGACGTTAAAGGTGAGCCCCACACTATCACAAGAGGAATGGTTTCAAGCCTGGGAATGTTTCTCTCTTTCTTAAATAGGGAGATTAGCAGCATTAAAGAGGGGGATCCAAATGGAAACTTTCTTCTTAAAGAGATCCCATGGATTAAAGGGAGAATAGAAAAGAGAATGATTCCACGGCCCCTGATCTGATGCTGTGTGGGGCAGAGTTTCTGGTACCACCTAGAATCACACTGCATGTCAACAAAGTCCAGGACCCAAGTCCCTCTTGGAACACTGGCCTACTTAATCCATTTCACAGAAAAACAGAAGCTCAGCGAGCCTCATGGTTGATGAGTGGGGTGGCTCAGACAATCTCAAAGATGGTTCAAGCAGGAATTCAAAATATCTCCCTGTCACTCCCGAAGAAGGAAGTTTACTGTGATAAAGACAGAAAACAATACATCCACTGACAATATTTCTGGATGAAAACAGGTACACAGACATGACTTCAGGGAGTGAGAATTAAAATATAAATGTCTCTCTTTCTCATTTGATGAAATTAACCTTCCCTGAGATTGTAGCTTGGGATTATGTAATCCGTAAATTACACACAAAACTCAGCAGGAAGTGACAAGCTCCTTCATTTATTAATAACTTGGTGCAACGTTATTCATGATGGAGAAAGCCAGCTGCACTGACTTGGTGTCAAATGCTTCCCGCCGCGGGGATTGCCATTACAGGACAACAAATGCTTAAAAGAAACCAGCCATTCTCAACATGTTGGAAGGTGAATTTCTAACCACTTTCTTAAAAATCATTCATTAAAATGAACATGTGATCCATCCGAAATGCCTGCAATTTTTCAGTTTTAGCTGAATTTAGGTGTAATGATATAGCAATTAGCATAAATTAGCATACATCAGAGCCACCTGATTTTACTGGGCCTCTAAAAGTTTAACGCACGTGGCTCAACAAAACCACGTGCTATTCATCTCAAATAAAACCTGGTACTCATTCTCTTGTCAGATAGTTGGAAAATATCAAACATAAAAAGTGAGAAATCACATTAGTTCAAACCCAGAATGCGCAGGCTTTTAACTAAAAGTCAAGGTGTAGGTTTATGACATGGCCATTTGCCATTTTTTGTTTGTTTAACCAGTTAATTAGGGGTTCCACTACAGTATAACGAGCATGTGGCGTCTCCGCCTCTTACCTGGTGCACTAGGAGTCTCTCTGGAACTAATGGCTCTAACTCTAAAGGATATCACGTAGGGTAGTTGTCCTCCCCAGGGATTTACTTGAGGACTCTGATCTTTTGCCAAATGTGAAAAGCAGATGGAATGAATGGGACTCTAGAAGCAGGGGACTGGAGCAAGTCCAAAGCTTCTTTTGAAAACCAACTGCAAGTAGACATGGAAGAGAAGAGATGACCAGAGACTTCCACCTCCAGCCAAGTGGTAGAGAGACAATTGGAAGGTTCTCTTCTGACTATAATACAAAATATCCTAGATCAAGTACAGTAACTTGTTTTAAAGGCATTGCTGAGTTCACTAGAAAATCAGGGATATTCAGAGAACCACACAAACATACACACAAATAAAACATTTAAAAATAATCTGCAACGTGAGTAATCAGGCAACCAGGCAACTAAGAAAGCCAAAGTTTCTCTATAGCAAACGTCTGCCCTCGCAGAAGAACAAGAACCCAAAGTCACTCAGCGGGAGGCAGGAGGGGAGCAGCAGGAAGGTGGATGCTGGCTGCTCTCTGGTTACTGTGCACCCTCTAAGGGCGTTCAAGTGGCCTCAGGCATACTGGTCCCCTGGGCTTCCAACCGAGGTTTCAAAAGCAAATCCTTTCTGGAAGAA